ATATATACGTATAATTAACTATATGTTAGGTATGATTAGTCAAGTAACATATCATAAGGAGGGTAAATATTTGTTTTCTTATTGTAGAGACTTGCTCAAACAATTCCACAATACAGAGGGTATTCTATACAGCAATTATGTATAAAAATATTTTGTACAACTCCATGATTTTGGGAATGATCTGTTTTTTTTTTTTTTATGGACTACACATTACAATGATCTTTTGACAAACTTATTTCTTTTTTTGATACATTCATTTTTTTCTTAATCAGTATTTATTAATAGTATAATAGTTACATCTGAAATTGTATTAATCTACCCTGACGGATGTGTATACTTCTCATCTTCTTCTTTTTTCTTAACTTCATTCCAGGTATGAAAAACATGTTAAGTCAATATAAATATTGGAGGATAAATTGAGTTGCCAATCACAAAACACAAATATATTAACTTATGCTTAACATCTATAGAGAAAGACAACAGTTTCTTAACGCTCAACTATTAGCTGTTCATATCTAAAGGTATCAAGACCCGGTTACAAAAAAAATACTTTATTCCAACGATGATTATAATGTTTGATTGGTTGACATATTAATAATATCCATTACTTCTCATGATCTTATATATAAACACATCAAATTCCTCTCAATCATTCCTTCATTTCTAACATTACTAATCAGACTTTAATAAAACATTCATCTCTTGATAAAGTCGCTTTGTGCTTTAGTTCTAAACAAAAAAAAATGGAAGCCATGGGAGAATGGAGCACAGGCCTATGCGGAGTTTATACAGAGGAAGCTGACTTCATGAATCAGCTCCTAGCCTCCTATGATCAACCCTGTGGCGGTTCATCCTCAGAGACAACCGCCACAATCACAGCATACCACCACCAGAACTCTCATTGGACTGGCGCCTCCTCCTTCTCCCAGGAGACCAGTAGCTACAGCGCGGGACACAGTGGTTACTACACGGTGATGCCACAGCAAGAAGATAACAACAATGGGATTGAGGATGTGACTATCAACACGAACTTGTACCTGGTGGGTGAGGAAACGAGTGAATGTGACGTAATGGAATACTCTGGTAAGAGGCTCTTGCCTTTGGATACCGTCCAAGAGAACCACGACGATAATATGTTGCAGTCTGAGATTTCCATGACGACGACCGCGAATGAAAAACTGTTCAACCCATGCGAGAGTTCCAAGAAGAGGTCGCGTCCCACATCAACTGACGTAAGTCATATATGTGTGTTTTTTCATTTAAAAGCGGCTATTTGATCAGACCGTGCTTACGTTTTTAGATGTCCATCCTATGCGAATTTTAAGAAAGAATTCAAAAAAAGAGGAAGATACTAACACATTTAATAGAACTGTTTTTTTAATATCTTGCAGAATCTTAACTGTTTTATTTGTAGTCTTTATTAATTTTCTAGCTTTAAAAAAATATATGAGACTTTTTTTACCTCTGATACGGTCAAATTATAATTATTTTTTTAGTAGGCTCTTAAATTCTGTAGTGTAAGAAAATAGACCGTCCACCAATGTTTCTAAATTTGTACAATAAGCACAGCTGTGCTGGTGATTTTCACATACTAATTTCCATAGTTTCCAAAAATATATCATGATCATATTTACATATTTTTGTTTTTCTAACAAAATAAGAAGAACAAGAGAGCCAATAAAGCACGGAGGAGTCATAAAAGAATAGAGATGAGTGGCGATAGCGGCGAAGAGGAACAGGCGGAGAAGGGTGCAGGGAAGAGAAAGACCACAAAACTTAAGGTGCAGAACAAAAGCACAACTTGTTGTTCGGATGATGAATCAAACGGTGGAGACACCTCATCCTGCAAAGAATGTGGCGACGACCCTAAGGCTCTCAATCTCAATGGCAAGACTAGGGCCAGCCGTGGTGCTGCCACTGATCCTCAAAGCCTCTATGCAAGGGTAATTCTTACATAGACACACATATATATGTATAAGCGCTTCGATTTGTCAAAATGCATAGATATAAACAAAACATTCGAAGAAAAAGTTACATATTGGAAATAAGAAAATCAAATTATAGTGTTAACGCAAATGCCAAATCTAAAATAAATGTTTCTTCTTTTTTTTTTGTCAGAACTATGTTTTAGAAGTTGTAAATAAAATTGAAATAAATATACATAAAAAAACAAGAATGATATTTATTATGTAAGCAGAAAAATTAACACATAAACCGTTTTTTATGATGGTGCAGAAGAGAAGAGAGAGAATAAACGAGAGGCTAAGGATTTTGCAAAATCTCGTCCCAAATGGAACAAAGGTAACCTATTTAAACGAAAATACAACGTGACATACAATTGTTTAGTCTATTTTCGTTTCCTTACTTATAAAGGTAAATGTGTTAAACAGGTTGATATTAGTACGATGTTGGAGGAAGCAGTACAATACGTCAAATTTCTGCAGCTCCAAATTAAGGTACATTAAAATGACTTAAGTCGTATTATATTAAAATTTAAACTATAATCAATTATTGTTAATATTGTTACTAATCAATAATGTTATACAGCTATTGAGCTCCGATGATCTATGGATGTACGCGCCGATTGCTTACAACGGAATGGACATTGGCCTTGACATGAAACTCAACTCACTCATATGATTGAAGAGAGAGATTCAGATTTTAATTTTAACTTTATCTATGTATAAATAACTTGAAGTGTAATAGTTTTCTTTTCTCTTTATCTTTCATAAAAGTCTCCGTGTTCGATCACAATATCTTGTAGGCGACAAGTCTTGTTTAATTTGAGTTTGCAAGTCGAGTAATGCCCAACATTTTTTACAACATCTGTTGGTAATTGATTCGTTTCGTTTA